TTGTTGTGTTGTTGTTGCTGCTGCTACTGCTGCTCCTACCACTACTACTGCTGCTGCTGCTGCTGCTACGTCTGGATAGCGGTATGGTAGTGGCAGTCGTCGTCATCGTCGTCTCATTAACCGCCGATAATGTCAAAGGCTGCTGATCATCATCGTCGTTATCGTTATCGTTCTCGTTCTCGTTCTCGTCAGCTTCCACTTCCGCAACACCTTCGGATCTGGATACGCAATCGCTGACTTCATCATCATCATCCAGTTCCAGTTCGAGCTCCGCGACTAAGGCACGCGCTATGCTGGGCGCCATGAATTGGGGGCGCTCTAAGTAAATTTTTGTCACTGAATTGATTTTGTTGTTCAGTTTGAGATTTGATGTTGATTGAATGAAGAGCGATCGGCGGGTTTGTGTGTGTGTGTGTGTGTGTGTATATGTGGGTGTGTGGGTGTGTTTGTTTCGTATGTGGGGTTAGGCAGTGTGCGTGCGTTTGTGTGGGTGTGTGTGTGTGATTAACAGTTCGGTAAATGTATGAAAATGGAAAAATAAAGGGAAATTCATTAAATGTTAGTTACAACAAATAATAATTTGTTGGTTAAATAATAACAAATTCGAGCCGCAGCCAAAATAAATACAGAATGATTTAATTTAAAAACTTCGATACTTGTATTTAAATAGAAACATAATGAGAAGTTAGTAAAAAGCATTCGGCCAGCGCATATCTCAACACTTTGTACCACAGACTTGTGTGATGTTGTTCTTGTTCTTTTTGTAGCTATGTTGTTGTTGCTGTTGTTTGTTTTGTTCTTGTGTGGTTTGGTTAGTCAAAAAGATGATTTAAATAGCGGAAGTTCTGAAGGAAAGGCGACGGCAACATCCTTGTAGGCATCAACAAAAAAAAAAAGGAAGTCTTCAAGCTTTCTACTCACCCTCATAGCCATCGTTCCCATGCAGCTCATGCGAATCAGCCAGTATATGGTCCGTGCCCTCAAGAACCGCCAGCAGGCACTGATGTATGCACACATATTGTTGCTCCGTCTGAACCATGAACACTCGCTCTACAGAAGCGCAAAATAGAGGCAATGGAGGATATAGTTAGTATAGGAAATGACGGCATTAAATTAAACATATGTGATTGCGTTGATTTCTTGTAGCTACCCTTGCGCATGGCAAACACAATGCCAAAGATGTCCACATAGTCCGACTTGTTGATGTGCTGCAATATCCGATCGAGTGCAATGAAGGTGCCCGAGCGTCCAACACCCGCACTGCAGTGCACAATGATGGGTCGCATGTCGGTGCCGATGACCTCCCGAAACGCTCGCACGAACCGAACAAGCGAGGCCGGCGGCTCGGGCACCCCAAAGTCCGGCCAGGTGGTAAAATGGAAATGCCTTATAATGCGTGACTCGCAATTCTGTGGAAAATAGGCAAAGCAGAGTTTAGATAATGATTATATCCACATCGATTTAGAGAAATGCTTTAAAATGTTTTAGTCTCCCTATGGGCTTGATGATGGAATGAATTGCTTGAGTATTAAATAAAAGGATCGTGTGGAACGCTTAAGACACACCAGCAGTACTCCCGAGTACCTGCCAATTTCTCTGCTAGAGTCCCTCAACTTAAATCAACTTTGGTGCACCGATTTGGTTCCCACAGGAGCTACATACATATATGAACTTGTTTAACATTTAAGATTACTATTAATTGAATTGCTCATATAATCTGCTTAAGCGATTTAAGATAGTGATAAAACGGTTAGAGCCATGTCCAGTCGTGGAGCTTACCCTAGAGACCATGAACTCTGATATGGTCCAGTCCTGGAAATGCGTATCGGTGATGAGTTGCACCTTAATGTCGCCATGGAAGATGGGCACACGATCCACCGGCCAGTACTGATCACATTTTTCACGCCCCTTTTCGAAGCATCGCGTCAACATCACAATGGCACGCGAGCTGCTTTCCCAACACATGCGCCAGAACTCCTCGCGCGTCGAGTGCAGCGGACCCTGGGTAACAATGAACTCACGCGGGGAGTTGTGACCTGGCATATAGTTGGCATTGATATAATCGGAGCCATCATCATCATCAACAGGTTGTAGCTTAAATCGGGAGTGATCGTATGGCAGGACATTGGTGAAGCGATTCTTGGGCCGATTGCAAGGCAAATCTGCAAAACTACAGGACTGATCGCGTCCCACATGCTTCAGCTCTTCGAACTCCTCGCTGAACCGGAAGTCGGAGTCAGCGCTCATGATGCGATAGTGCTCCGGAAAGTCCTTGATATGAATAGGTCGATTGGGCGTAATATATCCCTCGGGCAGTGCCAACTCATCGTTGATGCGGGCTACTTTGGCAGCGCAGCGTATGCGATTGCAGCGATAGCGGAAACATCCGACCACAGACACAATGCAGGCGATGCACAGGAATACAAATACTGCGGAAGCTACCCATACCACATCATTACGATCGGTGGTTATGGATTCGCTATAGGCTGTGTCCGTGAACTTGTCCTCGTCGGTGAAGGCCCGCACCTTTATGCGATATGTGGTGCCCGCTTTCAGGGGACCATTGCAGTAGCCTGGTTGGTGCTTCTCGCAGTTGGCACTGCCAATGGTGAAGTCCTCGACGGTGCGATTGGTGAACGGATTGAACGGCTCCACTGCCTGATACGGCAGCCAAACTGTATAGGCCTGCACATCCTGCCAACTGGGCATCTCTAAGCCCGAGGCATTTTTGCCCACATCCTCGGCCACAATGATCGTGTAGTGGCGCACCACTCCATGGGCATTCGAAAAATAGTTCTGTCGAAAGCGTACCTGTATGGTCGAGGAGCTGCGACTCATCTCGATCGGTGTGACGCGCGAGTCTGGTGGTGGTGGTGCCTGTATCGGCATCTGCTGCCGATGCTCGCGCTCTAGGCCAAAGCCCAGAGCCGACTTGGCCTGTATGCGAAAGATGTAGGTGTTGCCCGGAACGAGGCCACCAATGCGCCCTTGAGTGTCCTGAGGCCCAAACTCATAGCTTCCCACATCGGCCATATCGTACGCATTCTGATATGTGACAGCAAAGTATTCAATGGGGCCGTGCTCCTCCCGTCGCAGCATCAACCACTCGAATGTTATTTCGCCCGGCTGCACGTCGTACGGCTGGAAGTACTCCACGCGTCCGGGTGGCGCCTGCATCGTCTCGTAGCTGGCCGATATGGGTGAACTGCTGCGCAGCAGAGTCGACGATGTTCCTGAGCGTACCACTACCGTGAAAGTGTAGTTGTGATACGGTTGCAGTTGTTGCAGCGTCAGCTGCATCTGTGTGGTGGCATTCTGCAATAATTGATCATCGGCACTGAGATACTGAAGTTCAAAATCCGTGTACTCGCCGTCCGGTGCGATCCAGTGCAGTGTAATCTCGTTTGCTCCTATGTGCAGTGCTTCCAGAGACTTTATTGGCAACGGATACAGACGATAAAGCCGCTGTATGGGCAGACTGGCTACGCCGCCGCTTACCGTCCAAACGGTTATGTTGTACAGGCGGCCCGGCGTTAGGCCCGTAAATGTGACCTTGCGATCTGTGTCATTAGCCAGCTTCTCCTTGTCCTTGATTTGCTCATCACCCAGCGAGAAGCGATAGATGTCGAAGCGTGTCGTTGTTCCCGGTGTGGGCGTGTAGGAGAGCGTGATGCTGTTTCCCTGCTCCTCGTTCTCGGCATTCGAGATAAGCACATCCGACTGAATGATGGGCATGGTGCGCGTGGAGAGATGTGTGATGCCCGAGCGTATGCCATTTGAGCTGGCCTGCACCTCAAACTTGTATTGCTTTCCCGGGTCCAGATCGTGGACGAAGATGCGCACACTAGACGAGTTCTCTGGAAATGGTAATTAGAACACGGGTTAGAGTGGCGATCAAGACATTGTTCTGGCTCTACCTACGGTCTGCCAGGTCAGTAACATTTTTGTACTGTGCCAGCTGTTGGGCATCGGTGGGCCACCATTTAATGGTATAGTAGTCCACATGACCATCCGGACGCGGCCACTCCAACGTCAGGTTTCGAGAATCAACGAGTGGCACCACATTAGATACCGGCTGCGGCGGCATCGTTACGTTCAGTTCCAGGGGCGCGGGACTTTCCACTCCAAAGCTCACTGTATTGACCTGAACCAGATAGCGTTCGCCATAGTGCATGTCCTCGATGCGGGCATGGCTCTCGTGCACATTGACCAAACGCTGCCAAGGTGACTTATTTGTGCGATAGCGCACAATGTACTCGCTGAAGTCGCTGCCCTCCGGCGGCAACCAATGTAGCATCACCAAATTGGTGTTTACGGTGCGTAACGTCAGATTGCGCGGCGGCTTGGGAACTAAAAAAAATATAAATAAAAGTATATGTACACCTATTTATAGTCGCTTATTGAAGACAAGCAATAACGTGCCAGATGTCCTTTACTCATAACTCTAGAAGCTTGGAGAAGCTTGAAGAAGGGCAAAATATATATTTTTTATACTCACAGACAGCTTGGAAGTATGAATGCGGCTCGCTGCGCATGTCGTGACTGATGGCATAGACCTTGATTTCGTAGCCTGAGCCCGCGTGCAGATATCTAATGACCAGATTCGTTTGATTTGTGGTAATGGTGCGCTCCTCAGTGGTCCCATTCCGCTGATAGTGCACTTCATAGCGATCCTGTTGTGATGTCACATCACTCTTCCAACTAATGTTGAGGCCGAGCGGAATGCTGCGCAGCTCCTGTATGATGGGCGCCGCCGGCCGCGTATCCTTGGTAATGTAGGTGGCATTCGAGGTCATACCATTGGAAACGGCCTGCACGGCAATGCGGTAGCGACGCCCAGGCAGAAGCTTCTCCAGCTTGTACTCAGTCTGATCGGTATGCAATACGGTAGGCGTTGGCTCCGTCTCGTTGCTCTTCTCATGATAACTGAGGGTGAACAGATTAAAGTAGCTTCAAGTGATAGTCAGCATTGTGACCTACCTGATATGATAGCCGTCCTGCTTTCCAGTTTCCGCTGGCTCCCAGTAGATATGTACGGCATTACTATGGTCATCTAGGAAGCCACGGAGGCTACGCACTGGCCGCGGACGCAGCGTCACTAAAGCTGAGGCCGGCCACGAGTTCACACTGTCCGATATCGTCTTTACCACCACGGTGTACGTTTTCCCCGACTCCAAAAACTCAGGATAGTCAAAATAGACGTAGGGGGCATCGGTTCGGGGGACATGAAAAGGACGCAGTGAGCTGGACAGCGATACTTGGAAGCTATCGTACTCGCTGTATGTTTTAGGTGACTCCCACTGTACACGAAAAGTAGATGTGGTCGTATACTGTGGGTCGAAGGTCACGTTCAGCGGTCTCTCTGGCACGGTAAGATATCGCGCAGTAGTCGGCACTGATGTCTCATCCTCAGATACCGTCTGCACCGATATGTTGTAGGCTCGTCCAGGCACCAGACCTTTAAACGCAGCCTGTGCTGGACCAGGCGGCTCACCTTCGCGCTCCACATAGAGCACACTCTCGATGGCATCATCTGGCGTGATGGATACCTTGTAGTGCGTGTAAATTCCGGCCGGATAAGGTGGCTGCCACAGCACCAGCAGCGTGGTCTCGTTGCGGAACCACACGATGAACTTGCCGGGCGTGTTGGGCTCTGTACGGATGAAGCATGCGGGCGGTTGGGTCTTGGATTAGCATGAATCAAATGTAACAATGCAAAGATGTACGAGTCAGGGAATCCAACCAGAATTTAATCAATTAAATTCATTAAGTCAAATATTGAATGCAGTGGCGCGAATAAATGGTATCTTTTCCTTGAGGGACTCTTTAGTTTTCGAATCATATTTTAAATGGATCTTTAAGTATACGTTTCGATATAAAGAGGATGACATTGGTTCGATTCCTTGACACAATTGTATGTACATATGTATTTGGCTCGATTCTAGAGGCGTATGTGCATTTCGCGTGTGTTAGTAAAGGGAAGGGGAAGGCGAGGAGGTAAGTAGGTTATTCTGTAGTTAGTCGATTTACAGGAAATAAATAAAGACGAGCCACTGTATTTATTGCTGTTTTTATTAAAGCAGACTACAAAGAATACGAGAGTTCTTAAGATTACCTCTAGTACCTCTATTTGCGGCGCCCAACTGAGGGCGCATGCGTGCGTAATTGAATTTGTGTATGTGTTTGTGAGAGAGAAGTAGAGTTTGTTAGTCAGAGATTTTAGATTTGCCAGCCCCAGCACCATAAGCTAGAAGTTGCACCTGCGGTTGGGATTACGCATTCCTGCGCGCGACTTACTTGTCGTGAAGTTTCGGCTCGTATAAGCCACTGACTCCTTGCCCTGGTAGACAGTGTACGCCTGCACCTGATAAGTGCCCCCCGGCGTCAGCTCTTTGGCCGATAGTTGCAGCGTCTCATTCCCACCAATCGTATAGCTACGATTATATTCATTATGTGGTGGCTCTGTTAAGCCCAGCACCTTTATTTTGAAACTGGAGTAGCGACCAGTCGTCGGCGGCTTCCAGGTTATGAAGGCACTCTTGCTGGAGCGTAGTTGCACGCTTAGATTGGCCGGCGGATCGGGCGCTGAAATAGATCAACAGTTACAGAAATGTCCAAAGTTTCGAATTAAACGTAAACGTTAAATAACATGTAGTATGCAATTAAGAAACTGATAATCTAAGATATCTCTGTGTACCTATAATGTATTCTGATGTATAAATGCTCTGACGATTATTTCGAATGAAAGCGTTCTAGCCGCTGGGCTTGGATACCTTCCGAGGCGATCAGCGTACTGCTGGCATAATGCTAGGGACTTTCGTCGCGCCCATCAATTTTGGATGGTTCCGTTGGGTCATCGTACAGAATCCCACACAGCAAGAGGCTGAGAGCTATCAAAGTGTCAATGTCTTCGGAACAGACCTTGAAGCAAGAGTTCTGCCGCTTATCTCACTCCACATTGTCAACCCTGGAGCGGTCATGATGCATGAGTCCGATACGAAAGAGCTCTTTGAGGTGAGCAGCGAGCCAGTACGATCGCAATTCATTGGCAATGGACTATTGGATTTCTACGAACACTTGAACTGAACTACATTCTTACTTCCACTTCGTGATTGTAGTTCCTTAGCAGATAACTCTGATTGGTTTATCTAATACTAAGTTCACAGTGGAGTGTGAATATGAAGCAAAAAATGTCGTGGAAAACCCAAGAGGAAAAGTTGAGGCTTACAAATTAGAATTATTGTTGCTTATATAAGGTGCGCGATAATTAACTGGGACACTACGTTTTAGAGTATAACAACTCAACCGTTCAATTTATTTTCATGAAACAAATTACTGCTTAAACTTAATAAAATTATGAATAGACTTCAACTAAAATAAAACAAATAAAACTTAAGAAAATATATTAAAAAAATTAAACAAAATATTTTCAAACGAAATAATTAACTGGGACAATTTCATTATTTGTATCTTAAAACTGAAAATGAGTAAAACAAAGAATTTTAAACTATGAATATATTCTAAATGGAACACCCGTTGTTGTTTAACACCTTAATTATTCGCCCTGGCATTGAATTGACCAAGTTTTGGAGCATTTGAATGTCCAATTTTTCCCATTCCCCATTATGGCATCTTTTAACTCTTTTAGAGTTCCAAACTGCCTTCCGTTGGCATAAACCCGTTGAGATAAGATTCCCCAAAGATTTTCTATTGGATTTAAGTCCAGGCTGCGTGCTGGCCATTCTAAAACGGGAATTTGTGAGTCTCTAAAAAAAGCTCTGGTGAGATGTGCATTATTCCTGCTGAAAAATCCAGGAATCACCGAAATAATTTTCTCCAAATTGCACTAAAACACTCTCTTATATGAGCTATTCGGGTGCTAGCACCAATCACAGTGGGGTTTTCCAGTCATCAGAAAAACCTACATATATACACATATATACACGATTGCAATATATATACATATATTAATGGATTACTGTAGCCTCGATTCATTAGAATTAAATTGATGACTACATTTTATAGATACAACACTTATATCAGGGAAATGTCTATTCTAGTGACTACAATATTTGTAAAGCCACTTTAAAATTACTCTCTACTTTGATCCTCATCCCAGCTAGTTAGTGCTTTTTTTACTTTTAATATCTTAGGAATTTGTTTACAGTCAGCTACAAGTATATGCATACTTTATAAGTATATTGAAATAACTGTTCAACTCAACATTTGGCTGCATGCAAATTTTTATGGTTGATGGAAAAACGTATTCTATTTTAAAATAAAATTAACACGCTACAAAAAAACACGCAACATTTGAGATTTTCCTTCATTGGCAAACAAATCTAAAACATTGTTTACATTTAATTACGATACCAATTAAGTGAAATAATTGCATTCTTCAGATTACAAACATTTTATTAAACTAGTGTTTACTATTTAGCATTCAACCTAAAACTGAAACTGAACTAGAAATTGTGCTTGATCGTGTAAGAAATTAAGAACAAAAATCTTGTGTAATTTGCAAAATTGCTCAACTCTTAATAACTTCTTGAGTGACTAACTAGTTTTATGAACTGCTCAGCTTTTCAATTTCATAAAGGGATTTCGTTTGTTTGGAAGTGAATAGATGGGTTTCCATTGCTAAATTCTCAATAAATTCTAATTTGATATTCCAGTCGAATGTGTAGTCTCCCCCCCTTACTAATATCCTTCCACTCACCTGTCGTTATGTTGACCGTCCATGTCGGCATATCTCGATGCGTCGAATTTGTATAGTACAGCCAAAAGTTGTACTCTGTGCCCGGTAAAGCACGTGAGAATTTAATGTCCTTACCGATCTCCCTGGCCGGTATGGTTGTGTTTGGCTCTGGATAGCCAAATGGCGGAGTATAGTCAATGCGATAGAAGGCATTGTCATTCGAGCTGGCATTGGGCACATTGATGACCAAATCGGCGCTTTGAGCGGGCTATAAATAAATAAGAGAAAGACGGAGAGAGAAATATATAATTAGCTTTGTTAGCCCTTCTTTGTGCCTTACAAAAAACAACTTCACAGACAAGTACTGTATCCAGATAAGTATTAGAATGAATTTGTTTCTTTTTTCAGTCCAGCCACAACATCTTTAGGACTGACAACAACATGCTCATTATTCAGTTTCGTTCCAATATATATTTATGGTCCACACAAATACTCTTTCTAAGTCATATATTTTGTATGACAGCAGTATTGTTTGGAAAACTGACATCTCAACTCATATTATTCATCAGTTTGCCAAAAAGAACCGGAGCTTCTTTTCCTCTCATCAAGGCCCTACTATATCTATTTTCTAGTAGGTGTTACAAACAAGCAAAACCAACGCAATATAGTATAAGCGTATACTTTGCGAGGAAGGGTATAGGTAAATAGTCAATGTTTGCCTGTTATGTTCCGTATAATCGTTTCCTACTCCGTTCGCTACGTGATTGCCATATTTTGACAACCCCCTAAGTAAGTATATTTATTCAATAGCTCGCCGCGTGAATTATGCTTCAATTTGTTGTTCATTCTCCTCACGCTAAACTACGAGCGTCTTCCCAACAACAATGATATTTGTTATAATGCACAATAGCCATTTTAATTAGCATGTGGGCGTATAGTACGAACATGCGAACAACAACCTTTCTCCCATCAATCAACCACAGGAAGAAGCGTACCTCAGTTTTTTTCACTCCAAGTATACTCCGATCGGTTGCTGAACGAGTTAAAAAGTCATGCACGGAGGTGCTAGCACTAATCTATATTGTGCAATAATAATAACAGCTAGCTGGCCATATATCAATAATAATAGCCCTACAACCATACCTTACAGCACCAGTAAAACAATATTGAAAACGAAGAAGAAGAAGAAGAAGAAGAAAAACAATAAAGAAGGCGACAGCTTCATTATAGGCTGCCGGTAAAGCTACCTACCTACTATATGTATATATACTTGGATACTATGACTGTTCGTTCAGCTATGGACTAATGATTTTGGAATATGAGTGAGTTTACGTGTGAGTCGTTATTTTTGATGATGGCTGTGAGTGTGCGCGGTGATTACATCTTATGTCAGTGTTGTAGTTTCTGTTTTTAGATTCCCATTAGATTTAAATGACAAGTGTTGACTGCACATGTAATGGGCCAGCTAGGAACTCACAGATCCCATAATCCCGATTGCTATTGCATAATCGAATGCAGGTGTTTTCCCAAACGATTCCAATTTTATGGCTACATTCTACATTAAAATCGAGGAGCTTATAAAGACAATTTCAATAAATAAAGACATACTATATACCTATTAATAAAACAAGCTAGGGCGGCCAACTCATAGTGTATTTGGCTTCTTGGCCACAATTCTACACTGTAAATAAATAATCTAACAATGAGAGTTTCTATTAGGTCCATTAGTCTCTTCTAAATATAAGGAACAACTGATTAACCTGTACTCAATCTTTTTCCCGCCAAACTATGTTCGGAGTTATATACTTGTATGTGATCAATACAAAAAGTTAACCTACTCAGAATGGTTTTTAAACAGATTATTATATGGTATACTATACATATACTTATAAAGCCGATTCTGATAAAACATCAGTGTATCCGGGAGCACTAACAAAACATATCAAAAACACAATTCCAGGACTTATGTTTGCACCGATCGTTCCTATGGCAGCCATATGATAAAATGAGCAGCTTTTGATGAAACTGCAGATCGTGCTGAGGCACTCCGGAGTACAGAATTTGTTCAAGATTTCCTAATTTTTTCACTGATCATTACTATAGAAGCTATATAAAACAATAAGGATACATATGGTGCGTAATACACTTGCTTCGCGTATGGATAATACAAATCTAAATATCATTTTTGGTATCCCTAAGCTATCGGTGTTCATGCAGACAGATACATTATGTTGGGGTAGAGTAGTACATATTTGAAATGAATTAAACTTTTGCTCAATACAGGTTCCAATAAAGTTTCGAAACTCGTTTCTATCCATCATGCTGCAAAATTAAGATTTTGGCAAGTAGCATTGCAAGAACTTTTCACTTAAGTGATTACTGTTTACTACGGAAATAAAGCATTTCATTGTTCGTTCATAACAACAAATTTTAACGTATGTATATATGTATATACATAGGTGTTTAAGAATCAGGCACTGTATGGCTCTATTTTTGAATACAACCACAATCTCTGTTGAGAATCCGATTCCGCAAAGCCAAGCAATATCTGCATTTCATCTGACATACTTAGTATATGTGGAAGAATGTCTGCCAGCTACTCGATATATTAGATAGATATGTAGATTTCAGTACACAAATTCAATGCTTAAAACAATTAAATTATTTTCGTTCGATGTCAATACGAGCTCCATTTAATAGATGGCCTTAGAGGGAAGGCAGCTAAATAAAAATATTCGCACCTACCCTGCCTATAATTTTTGAATTTGATCAAAAAATGTGAAAAGTGGTAGATCTATATTGCTGTTTTGTTGTTGTTGTTATTATAATTGTTGTTATTGTTGTTTTTGTTGGTGATAATTAAGTTGTTTTTGTTGCGATTGTTTGCATGTCACATGCGAAACTGCGAACAACAACAGCACCTACTGGCGGAATTGCTGGAAAAGCGGAAGTTGAATAAGGCCTGAGGAAATTATTGTGCTCACATTTGTGAATTATGTATAGTATAGTATAGTATAGTATAGTATAGTATGTAAGTAATATATGTGTGGAAGTGTGGGTGGTTTCGGGTACTTAAATGATGCCACAATATTGCTTATTTGAATAGAGAACACATATAATAGCAGGTGGCAGCGGTAGAGTGCTGGTAGTTTTTCCATTATTCACCAAAAGAACCTTTACAGCAGTGAGCAATTATTGAAAATTAATATTAATTGCAAAAATGACTAAGCAAAGAGTACTCGATATGATTAAAACAACAAATAATAAATATAACTTGTTCTGACTTTCCTTTTCCCCTACACCTTCAAACATTCTCATTTGAATACTGTGTTATATATTGTAATATTTTTAAAATACGTATAATCTTAATAAATACAAATAATTTTATAGCCTGATTTAAACTTTTTCGCGTATTACAATCGCTAATTTGTAGCTCCAATATTTTCCCCATGCTTTTGGGTGCCACTCATCACGCAACAATGAGATGCCAATTTATCCCGATTTCTGCGTCCTCATTATTTGATAAATAGTTAACAAGTCTGATGGCCTCAAGTAGTAGTAGCTTTGAGTTACTTTTTGTATTTGCATTTGATTGTATTTTTAAAAGATGTCATGAATATCCAAATTAGCATTTCTTAGGAATCAGCAACCCATATTAATTTGGTAGCTAAGAATATGATCTAGTAATTGTGCTAAATATAATATTTGTTCACAGTAAACAGTGTTGATATCTACAAATATGGTAATGACTCATTTCGTTTATCTCATCATATGTATATACTTGAAATCCCCCTAAATCCAAATTTCACACTGCCATACTGGACGATCATCGTCCGAACGTTCGGAACATTTTTGAACGTACCGCCTTGGCACTTAAACTAATCCCTACTGAGGTTCTCTAACGCATAGTCGGAAATTCTGAGCTAACTTCCTGAAACTAGCTTCCAGTTTTTTTTTTATTATTTTTGTTGTTATGAGTTTGAGAGTTGTCAAACTAAAGACTTGAATGAAATTTAAACCAAAATAATAACAATCGACCGTGCTGTCAATTGTTCAAAACTTTGTCGTAACATCACTGTGTAGGCCACACAAAACGATTCTTCTGGAATTGTTATCATCCTTCCTATAAACTATTTACAAAATTAGGATCATTTAAATTATTTAACATGTCTGTCTATGTGTATGAACGCGAGTATCTCCGTAAGTATATTTGGGATGCAAGTTCTGCTACGTCCACCACAACAGATTTCTGGCTATAACATCTAGATTCATTGAGATCCAAAAAAATACACTTTAAAGTTTCTTCCAATTTCGGATTATCACATGTGCCAAGATTTATGCTAATAACTTAATTCTTAAGGAGGTTTTGACCCTGAATGTAATCTCTACCCAATCTAAGCTGTTTTCAAAGTTAAAAACAAAAAAAATTATACACGTATATGGTACTATATTTCGGAATGTTATTAAATTAACACCTTTAATTAACTAAAGAATTAGTATGAAAAGTGTATAAAATGATTATTTCATCAGCATGCTGAGCAATAAAATGGGAACAGGTCGCACATTATTTGTACCTTTCCCCATATGTATGTCGCTTGTTTGTACGAGTATATGGGGCTTATGGTGCTTTTGTGTTTATACTGGATTATAATAATTATGAAAATTAAATTAATCGCTGCTAATTTATTGTTTCAGCGCAGCTTACGGCCCCTACGGCCCCTAGGGGGCATCTGCTATTGCGAAGAAACAAATTTTATTTCCATGATTAGGCTGCGACCTGTTATAAGAGCGACAGATAGAGAGAGAGAGAGAGAGAGGGAGACTCGAGAGAAATGAAGACTGACATTTCTTTTATGCATAAATAAATACGGGCATGTGCGAGTGTGTGCGTGTGTAGGTATATATGTGCGCACACATACAAACACATGTATGTAGCACGATCGCTGCTTTGTTGCCTTTCACTTTTTGTTGCCTATCATAATTTGTTGATTTGATAATTTGGCGCAAAAGTGTTGCAACAACATTCAGTTTCGGATTCAGCTTAAAGTTCGGTAAGCGGGGCAGCTTGTGACACACTATATCGTAAGTATATATGTACATACAAGTATGTATGTATGTACTATGTAGGCTGCAGACTGCAGTTGATATGCAAATGCATCGTCATGCATGCCGAAGAGGGGGACGACTGTGGATAGGAGGAGGGCTGGGAGCCATGAGAACCAGCGATACGCGAACGACCTTGCTCGTTCATTTCGGTGACAAGTGCAG